TCTCAGAGTTTCGGCACTGTTTTCCTAAATCGCCTTTTACTTCAGCTTCTCGTGGTCGGATGCCTGGAAAAGGTAAAAAATTGTCACCATGGAAAGGAGAGTGTGCGGCCAGTAAATTCAAAGATGTCACAGCGACATCAAGATAAGCTTTCTTTCTTTCTTTCTTTCTTTCTTTCTTACATTTGTATTGGCGGTTGGCAAACAACTGAAAGCCACCGCCACCAATCAAGAAAAGCTACCTATTCAAGCAAACTTTATTGACCAAAATTTGGTGTAACGTTATAGCTAAACGTTACACAGCCAAACTATTAACGTTGAAAAACAATCGAGGAGTTTTTCAGAAGTTCCCGTAAAGTTTATGAACTGGTTTCTTGTGGTTTTGAAGCAATGTTTGAGTTAAACATAGGCGTGTGAAACAAAATAGAAAAATATTCGTTTTGCTCTAGAAAAACGTTCCAATAACGCGCCCTCTTGTTACTTAAAATTATTTGTATCTTAACTTTATAGAATAATGTTCATTTTATGTAACTTTCGATTTTGGTGGGAAGCAGCTCGCACTGCGTACAAACGTAAAACCTCTTGTTGTTAATTTGGTCTTTGATCACGTGAGCGTTCTAATCTCCGACGTATGTCTGCTAGGTGACAAGCCAAACCAATCAAAGTTTGAGTTGTCTGAAATTATAATTCTAATTGGTCGTTAGACCTGCCAATATTACTAAGAAAGGCGGGTTGTACTCCGCTAGACAAAATACAGGGCAAATAAACAGCTTGTTTTTCAGGCCAACTGCCGTCATTTCCTTTAGTTGACTACTGAACTGCCTATTTGAAAAAGTGTCGAGGCGGCTGGCCACGTTTTTAAGAAGGATATGTTGCCAGTTTTCTGTCGTTGTTACGACTAAAGTAACATTAAGAAGGGTGTAGTCTACTTTATTAGACGCCAACGTCTAGAAAGCCGTCGTAAAAGAGAAGCCGATTCTTCGGTAAGTTCCCCTTGGTGTGTGTGTTTGTGACGCGCCAAAAGCTAAACGATTCTGCGAGGAAGTAACCATTTTGTGCGTTCGTCGATTTTAATAATGTTATTTTTCTATCTTTAAGGAGAAAATGAGCGGCGCTTTCACCTTTGGGCAGCCCTCTTCGGGCTTTACTTTCGGAACGCAGAAAACCACAGCCTCGGCCCCGGCCCAGGCCCCTACCACCGGCTTTGGACTGACAACGTCCACTCCTGCAGCCGCCGGAGGGGGCTTCACTTTCGGCTCATCCATCCAGACCCAGAGCACTACCAACCCCACTGGTGGTTTCAGCTTTGGCACCCCAGCAAAGTCCACAGCAGCCGGCGGGGGTTTCTCTTTTGGGGCACCCACCACAACGTTTGGAATGAATGCAGCTCCTCCAACCACAACAGCAGCTTCAGGGTTGACTTTGGGCTCCACGGCGACTCAAGCAGCAGGGTCGGGGTTCACTCTGGGTGGAGTTTTGTCTGCGCAGACCACCGCTACTGCACCTGCAGGAGGGGGCTTCACCTTTGGAGCTGCATCTCAGGCTCAAACCCAACCTGTAGCAACAGCCGCACCGGCAGCCTCCACAGCACCAAGTGGTCTCTCATTTGGAGGGTTCAGCTTCGGAGCTACCAAGGTCCAGGTGACATCAGCGGCAGCCTCCACCACCACAACCAACACCAGCACCACAGGTGGAGGCTTCAGCTTCGGCACCAGTGCTCCCCCCAGCCTTGCCCAGCCAACCTCCACCGCTGCTGCTGCCACAACAGGACAGGGTGGAGGGTTTACCTTTGGGATTAAACCGTCATCAACCCCAGCTCCTCCTGCAGCCACCCAGGCCCCACCATCTTTCGGGCCTTCTCTCTTCGCTCAGCCTGTCACAACAGCTGCTGCCACAGCAGCAGGTCCCGGCTTCCCTTTCAATGCCGTTTCAGCTTCAGCAGCAAGCACATCCACAGCAACAACCACGGCTACTGGTGGAGGTTTGACTTTTATGATCAAACCTCTGGTTCCAGCAACCACCACATCTGCCCCCGCCTCTACCGCTACAGCTGCAGCCCCCACGACAGGTACTGTTACAGGCTTCTTGCTGGGAGCCAAAACTTCATCGATCACAAGCACCACGACAGCTGCTTCAGCCACAACCATTGCCAGCACCACCAGCACAGCTCCTCCAGTGATGACCTATGCCCAGCTAGAGGGGCTCATTAACAAGTGGAGTCTTGAGCTGGAGGACCAGGAGAGACATTTCTTACAGCAGGCAACTCAGGTGAATGCCTGGGACCGCATGCTGGTGGAGAATGGAGAGAAGATCACATCCCTCCACAAGGAGATGGAGAAAGTGAAGCTGGATCAGAGGAGGCTGAACCAGGAGCTGGATTTCATCCTGTCCCAACAGAAGGAGCTGGAAGATCTGCTCTGCCCCCTCGAGGAGTCGGTAAAAGAACAAAGTGGAACCATCTACATGCAGAACGCCGACGAGGAGCGTGAAAGAACATACAAGCTCGCTGAGAACGTGGACGCACAGCTGAAGAGGATGTCGCAGGACCTGAAGGAGATCATCGAGCACCTGAACACGTCCAGCGGCCCAGCTGACACCAGTGATCCGGTAAGACGACGCCTCCAGTTTTTGATAATCGATAAGATTAACAAAGATTTGCTCACGTAATTCATGTCTAATTTCCTTTTTTCATCATCAGCTGCAGCAGATCTGTAAGATCCTCAACGCCCACATGGATTCACTTCAGTGGATCGATCAGAACTCTGTTCTGCTGCAGAGAAAGGTCGAGGAAGTGTCCAAACTTTGCGACACCCAGCGAAAGGAGCAGGAGAAAACCTTCCGGTTAACATTTGACTGATCTTCAGTAAATACTTTTACTTGTGTGCTTACATTTTTACTCTGTAATCAGAGGTGTCATCAGGGCTTTAGATGGTGTAGATCCAACCTTCATTACTGTTATTTTGAGTTTTCTTGGTTGCATAAAGATTGATATTTTCAGTGCATTTGCCTTTAGAGTAGTGAAAAGGATCCTCTCTTTCTATGTCAATTGTTATGTTTGTTCTAAAAAGTCTGATTAAATAAACCTTTGGAATGGAAGTCTTTTTTGTTTTGTTTTGTTTTTTTAATTATCGGGCATTAAATACATAATTCTTTTCTGTGTCAGAGGGAATGCTTTGTTCACATATCCGGTGCCCCTGTAATAGCTGAATTACAGCTAAGCATGTATATTTTGATAAGAGAGGTGTGGATGGAATTGATTTGTTGTATTTACAGATTTAAGTTTGTGCAGTAAACAAAAAACAAACTGTTGATGGACAAATAAGGCAAACATGAACTTCTACCATGCTAAATTAAGTTTCTGGGACTTCATTAAAGTGCTATTTCCCGATTTTGGCACTTGTTGGTAAGTCGGCTGGCTTAGCCTCTAAAGCAGGGTGTCAAACTCATTTTGGTTCATGGGCCAAATACAGCTTAAACTGGCATGTAGGCCAATCCAGTAGCACCACTGTATAACTTTAATTTACTTATTTTCCCTGAAGAAGAAACTTGTTCTGGATCTCAAACAAGAAAAAAAGTTTTTTTATAACTATAATAGAAAGTTTCAAGAAATTATAACTAGCTGAAAAGTAAAAAATTACTGTAAATCTTAGTTTTAGCATCGGTTATTACAATATTACAACTGATGAGACTTTGATGATTATCGAGACTCTGAATGTCTTCAAGACTGAAAATCAACTGCTTTCAAAGATTTCTGTTTTTAAGGTATTACCTGTACTGATTTTCCTAAATCTTGTCTCTGACATATGCAAATTAAAAACACCCAAACTAATAAAAACTAAAGACTTTCAAATGATGACAGCTAAACTGAAGCAAGGAAACCCACTGTGGAATCAAACCAAAATGAAACTGAATTTTAAAAACAAAAAAAATCAATGAAATTTATTTTTAAAAAGCAGGTTAAAAAAAAGAAGCTTTCTATCAATTTCTACTCCTGTGTAGTGAAGCTGGGCTCACCACAATAGGAACCCCAAAACACATTTCATTGAAAATCTGGAGTAACTAGTGATTTCACTGGACTTTTTACACTTTGCAAAGCCATACATGTCTGATGATGATCATAGCCAAGCTAAGATTTCAGTTTTCATGTGTTGGTTATTTTTTTAAAATGCAGACAAAAAAAAAAAACTCTTCAGTTTACAGCTTTTATTAAGAGGAAGTGATTCTGCCAGTAGAGTCCAATTTTTAGTGCCTTAAATAGTGGTTTGTTATGGTTTATGTAATTACTCATTTACATTCTGCCTGACTGGGCTGGAAGAGTCGGGCAGAAAGGGTCTGGAAGTTGAAGACAAATAATTAATTAAAACTTTGCTTTTTGCTAAATCATTCAGGTAGGGCTGGATCGGGTGACCCTGAATTCTCTCTTAGTTATCCTCCATTAGGTGTAGGCTCCTGTGGGATTCCCATAATGCATTGAGTATTTCTTTTTCAGACACCTTTCTTACTCACCATGTGTTTATACACCTCCATTGAATCACTACTTATTATTAATCTGTGGTTCTCTTCCACAGCATGTCTTTATCCCGTCTTCCTTCCATCACCCCAACCACCCCTGGCCGCCCCTCCCTGAGCCTGGTTCTGCTGTTAAAGGGGAGTTTTTCCTTCCCACTGTCACCAAAGCGCTTGCTCATATGGCATCATATGATTGTTGGGGTTTTCCCCGTTGTATTAGTGTGGGGTCTACTTTACAGTATAAAGCGCCTTGAGGCGATTGTTGTTGTAATTTGGCAGTGTATAAATAAGATTGAATTGAATCAGATACTTCATGTGTTTGGATTTCTGACTATCTGAAAACTCGCTACTGGAAAGGAGTTTGTTACAGCTGAATGTGAAATAACTTTATAAAGATAACTGACTTCAGCCCTGCTTTCATGTCAGATATGTTCATGACAAGAAAATTAAACAGGAAAAGATTTTCTTTAAGCATTTTTATTTTACTTGGCAAAAACGTTTTTTTTTTTTAAAGGCATTTTGAATTAAAGCGTTTCACTTGATTTTCACCGTCTTCGCTTTGAATTGCCCACAGAGACCAAAAAGAGGCTCGTAGTACAGTAGATGCGATTCATATGTGAGAACCAAGGTGAGCTAATGTGAGCAGAGAGGAAAAATGGAGCTGCTCTCACATTAGATTCACACACAGTTATTTTCAAATATCTATTGTTTGTGACAAGACAATGTACCTAAATGTCATTTCAAAGAAGAAAAAACAGAAAATTTACACACTTACCATTCACAGAAAAAACAGAAAATCTCATTTACATTCATATTACAGTGACTGGCTGTACCTTCTGTGAACAGACCTCAGGCCTCCAGTGAGACAGTACAACTTTAAAAACAGCAGTAAACTTTGCCCGTTGTTATTCGGCTTCAGACATGAGTGGATAAAACTTTGGTTGCTTGATTTGATTTCTTTTTTTCAAAAAAAAAAAGTATAAATATAAAATGCGCAGACATATTCAAATATATACAACGATTAGAAAAAATAGTAGTACTATACAGTGTAAAAAGCATTATCTGCATTTAGCAATAAAAAAAAGCTATATCTGAGCAACATGTTAATGAAATTATTAATTAAGTTCAGTTTTGTCTTTGTTCAAAGATCTGAGCAGAAAAAGGTCATGAGTAACTTTCATTGTCGATCCAAGTCGTCATCCACTGCTTTTTTTCAAAAGGATCGGGTTTCACTTTTCCATCTTTGTGCTCAAGAGTTCCCTTTCTTATCCGCACTGCGTGGTAACGAGGGACGCTGTCGTTTTCTTTGGAGCGTTTGAAGAATCCACACTAGGAAAGAGAAATTTTAAAGAAAACACAATGCATTAAGGACTTTAAAAAAAATGTATCAGCAATATTCGCACAGTCTGTAAAGGATCTGTGCAGAAATGCTGAGGAAGCATGCTCAGTGGCAACAGAGCATGCTTGCAACCTCGACTTTTGCAGCAGAACAGGTGCAGGGATGTCAGGAAAAGCACCTGCAGAAGCACTAGGGGAAACTAGTAAGTCTACTGGCGAGAAAATGCATTACTCTTGAAAAATCCACAGAACCATATTGCACAAAGAGCTTATTAATAAAAAAAATATATACATTTATTTTCTTATGTAGAAGAAAATATCTCTCTTCAGCATGTCTATTTCACTCAATTTAGGAGCAAAGTGACCTTTTCCCCACAAATAACACGTGCAATATGAGTCTGATTTGAATTTTCCTTCAACAAGTCAGCAGAATTTGCTTAAAAGCAAGTTCATTAGTCACTGCAGTAACCACACGCCATGCTGACTTTACCCACGTTCAGAGAGCATATATCAGTCCTCAGCACTGAGTTTGTCTTTTTCAGACGGCTGAATGTTGATCTCTGC